AGGGTCAGGGTTAAGTTTAGGGTTAAGGTAATGGTTAGGGTCAGGATTTGGTTTGGGTTAGGTTTAGGGTTAGATTTAGAGTCAGGATTAGGTTTAGGGTTAGGGTCATGGTTAGGGTTAGGGTTAGGGTCAGGGTTAGTTTGAGGGTCAGGATTAGGGTTAGGTTTAGGGTTAAGGTCAGGGTTAGGGTCAGGGTTAGGTTTAGGGTTAGGGTCAGGGTGGAGGGTTATAGTTAAGGTTAGGTTTAGGGTAAGGATTAGGTTTAGGGTTAGGTTTAGGGTTAGGTTTAGGGTTAGGGTTAAATTCATGGTTAGGTCTAGGTTTAGGATTAGGTTTAGGTTTAGGACATCGTTTGTCTTTCGATTTCGTATAGACAGTAAAGTTTCGTTTCCACCTCAGAAAGCTGCTAGTCACATGACCTAATCAAAATGGCCGCCTTGGATGTGGGAGGAGTCGGATACCCACCCGAGGCTCCTACAGGCGGCTCCTCCCCAGAACGATTTCCAGCCGCCTGTGATTAAAGGACACGTGTTTCCCAGCTGGAATATCTGGGTTAGGGTTAGGGTTAGGGTTAGGGTTAGGGTTAGGGTTAGGGTTTGGGTTAGGGTTAGGGTTAAAAGGCAGGAATCCGACCCAAACCACATCCAGTCGGTGGACCTTCCAGAGGACCGTGGGAACCAGAGGAGAGATTCAAATCCTCAAACATGCTTCGATTTAAGTCTTTAAAGCCTGATCCAAGAATTAAACAAAACAGAAAATTACTTTCTTTTGGTTTGAATTCCTTATTTGGCCTTTTAACAAAATATGTAAAAAGAAAAAACAGAAATACATTTGTAATATTAACCCTTTAAAGCCTGATCCAAGAATAAAACAAAACAGAAAATTATTATTTTTTTGTTTTAATTCCTTATTTGGCCTTTTAACAAAATATGTAAAAATTAAAAACAGAAATACATTTTTAATATTAACCCTTTAAAGCCTGATCCAAGAATATAACAAAACAGAAAATTACGTTTTTTTTTTTTGTTTGAATTCCTTATTTGGCCTTTTCACAAAATATGTAAAAAGAAAATACAGAAATACATTTTTAATATTAATAATTTATTTCTATGCGATAAATCAAGATTATTTATTTATATTATATTATCCACATTGTAACAGACAGTATTTCATTAGTTAGAAAATTAGTTAGAAAATTCTCGAATAAACACATTTTTGATCAAAACAAAAAAAAAGTTCCACTTTTTTAATGCCTTAAGTAAATCAGAAACACTCCGGGAGAGAAATCTTGACATGATTATGATTCATGCATGAAAGGGTTTTAAAAAAAAGAAAAAAAAGACCCACACGTTTAATTAAGAGTTCAATTAAGGACAGATGGACCTCGGATATGAAAGGAGCTTCAGTTCTGGGTGTTTTTGGCTCATTAGGCTCAGAAATTAGAAGATAATTGTCTGTTTAAAACTGTTTTTCTTGTTTAAAAAACAACAAACAGAAATTCTTTGTCTATTCAAGTTATATTTAGCTGTTATATTTTGTTCTTTGTATGTACAGATCAATCAGGTTTCTGACCCTAAATGAGACGCCAGTCGCTCTATTCTAAACTTTATGGTTTGACCAACTATTTTAATGATGTTTCACAACTTCCTGTGCGACCGAATTAGGAACTATGAATAAACTTATTGTCTGGGAAACGGACTGGGTGACCCAGTGTTTGTTCTCTCACCAGAGCAGAACCTGTTTCCTTCCTCCTTTCTTCTGATTGGTCGGATTTCAGAGGGGGCGTGGCTAGTTTATTCTGGATGTGTGTTCATTTTCTGACAAACTGCGTTTAACCACAAGAGATACAGCAAATTTGATTACTTCAATGGATTTCTGAGATAATTTCTCTCTTCTTTGATATGCTACATGACCCCCTTCCCTTTGGGAAAATTTACCCATGATTCAACATGGCAGCTTTCAAAATGGCAGCCATGTTCCTTACAGGCCCCCTGAGCCTTTGATGGTATTAAGATAGATCCTTTTTCCTTTAGCTGCTTAAACAAAATTAGATGTTGGGAGTTGAATTTAAGATCAAAATAATTTTGAAAGGAATCTTTCTTTCATGCCTGAAAGATCAAAGAAATTCTAAGAGGAACCTTTCTTTCATGTCTGAAAGATCAAAGGAATTGTGAGAAGAACCTTTCTTTCATGGCTGAAAGATCAAAGAAATTCTGAGGGGAACCTTTCTTTTAAGGCTTTAGCTATGAAAGGAATTCTGAGAGGAACTTTTGTTTCATATCTGAAAGATCAAAGGAGTTCTGGGAAGAACCTTTCTTTCATGGCTGAAAGATGAAAAGACTTCTTCCTTTAAGGGTTGAAAGATCAAAGGAATCCTGGGAAGAACCTTTCTTTCATATATGAAAGATCAAAGGAATTCTGAGAGGAACCTTTCTTTGTGCCACTGAAAGTGTTTTAGAATAATTTCACTGACGGGAATGCGAGCGTTTTCTCACTCTGAGGTCATTCTACCATCAGATATCCAGCTCTTTTCTTCTTTTCCGGAGGTTGTTTTTATCTAAAAGGCCGAATACGACCAGAGTCTGTAAATTATGTTCAGAGATAAAAAATATATTCTACTCTTTATCCCGGCCTGAGTCAGCTCTGCTTTTACTCACA